TTCTACCTCAATTCTTTGCCTTTTCTTGTTTTAGTTACCCCTCAATTCAAATTTTATTGGTTCTCTCACATTTTATGTTATTTAATTTATGCCTAATTTTTTTCTTTTTTTGTCTTTTCAATTTCTTCTACTTGTTCTTTTTTTTAAAAAAAATTAAAATTAGGGGATAATCATAAAAAAATTTTAATCTTAAAATTATATAAATACCTAAAAAGAAAAAAAAACTACAAACCTTGTAATTTTTTAAATTTTGTATAAAAATAAAATTGTTTGAGGGCCAAAAATGGGTTATGACATATGCCCTTTCTATGTAATGTTTATGATTCAAAATTGATCGAAGCATAAAATTTTGATAGGTTTTACTTAGTGATCTTGTAAAGAAAAAAGTTTTGGATTAAAAATACAAGCGACCTAGCTTGTTAGTTATGCTCTCATGAGCGACTTGCCTTGTTGGTTATGTTCTCATAGGCGACCAACTCTTTTTAATAGTCTTACCGGCAACTTCGCCTAATTATCATATTCTCATAGGTGATCGATTATTTTTAGATGATTTTGTTCTTAAAAGTGATCGCCCTAATGGTCTTTCTCTCGAAGTGACATGCCTTAAATGATGGTATATTGTTAGGTGACCTAGCTTGAATGATGGTCTATTATTGGACGACCATATTTGAAATGATTATTTATTGTTAAACGATATTTTCCGAATGATGGTCTAACAATAGATGACTCGTATGTTAATGATAGTCCATTGTTTGATGAAACTTCCTGAATGATGGTCTATAATTATATGACCATACCTAAAATATGGTCTATTGTTAGGCAACCTTGCTTGATTGAGGGTCTATTATTAGGTGACCTAGCTCGAATGATGATCTATTGTTAGGCGACCCTACATGAATGATGATTTATTATTAGACAATCCTACTCGAAATAATGATCTATTTTTAGATGACTTTGTCCGAATGATTGTGTATTATTAGGCAATCCTACCTAAACAATAATTTATTATTAGGCAACCTAGCCTTAATGATGTTCTATATTAGGTAGTCGAGCTCGAAATGGTGGTTCATTGTTAGATGATTAAGCTTGAATGATGGTCTATTATTAGTAGGGGTGAGCAAACGATTAAACGGTTCGGTTAAGCTTAATTCGGTTCGTTTTTGGTTAACCGAATTAGAAAAAATAAATACCAAAATCGAACCAAACTAAATTTGATTAATTTGGTTTGTAATCGAATTATTTTGATTCGGTATTGAAATAATTCGGTTATAACCAAACTTTTATTCTCGTGAAAGATTTTTATTTTTATGGTATTAGAAACTAATTTACTATTAAAAAAATGTAATAGTAAACCTTAAATGGTTTGCGTGTCATCTATTTACTAAGATGACAATGAAAGTTCCAAGATAGTGAACTAAGACAACAATGAAAGTTCCAAAACTTTTTGACAAAAAGGTTCCAAGGATAACGGGATTGATGACCGGAAATTGGATGCTAACTCCGCTCTTAAAGTCCCTCAACCGATTAATCACTCGATTGATGGTTTCCTTTATTGCTAAAGTGTCATATTCAGCCCACAACATCTGAAAAATCACATACATGCACATGAATACATTATAGAAAGTGAAGCCACGAGCTTTAGTTTACTATCAACTCGCCACTAACGAGGCACAAAGTCGCTTTCGGTAAGCTTACCGGCCATTCACATAAAGAAATAGCCACAAGGCTAATATGTGATTGGCTAATTGGCCAGCATCAACCATTATGACAAATATCAGCATTGCTCGTATAATAGAACCAATCCTAATCACCCAACAAACAACAAATTAAAGTCTAAAATTGCAAGAAAACTAAACAACTCATCTAAAATCAATAAACTCAAGAATAAAAAGAATGCACCGGACTCACTGGACCGGACCCGAGTAACCATAAGGCACTAGGTAGAAGTAGATATAGACACGTAGCAATCGGAAGACGAGTAGACAAAAGCACCGTAATGCGGACGAATTAAGCGTAACCAATCAACTAGACACATCAAACGCACCAAATAGCCAAATATTGACGAGATACAAATCATACAACATTCAACAAATATGGAAATATGGAAAGCAACATTCAACATTCAACATTCTTACTTAGACTTTTAGTCTTTAACTACCAACAGTCTAACACCTCAAAGAACTTAAAAAAGAAAAAAGTAAGAAAGATTCATCAACAATACAACATACTTACATACCAAAATCTAGATTAGAAATTACTACACATCCAAAAACCATAAAGAAAATTACCCACAATAAAGAGTCTTGCTTGTAACCTTGGACAACCTCGAGCCCTCGAGCCTCCTTCAACGATCAGTCGCCTAGAGCCTTGGACACCGTCGGACATCCAATGGAGACTTGGATAGCCTTAATATGTGTAATGAAAATTTAATTCAAGGTCGGTAGGCGAGTAGGCCAGTAGCATTGACCAGAGTGCAAGTCAAACATCCAACCATGCATAAGCAACGTAAATAAAAAAATCAAACTTAAAAACTTAATAACTTACACATATCATTCAAAAGGCCAAAACACTATCGAGTAATCAACCCATCAAACATTTGTAGTAGAGTTAGTGACACCGGAAATTGGTAACTCGAAAAATAAAAGACAAAAAAATTAACCCTTTATCATTAATATATAGGAAAGAAATAAAAAATTAAATGATAAGAGTAATAGAAATTACCATTTTCCATTTTCTCTACGTCTTGTAAATTTTCTTCAATAATAATTGGCGTCGATGAATTTTTAATCTAATCTTGAGCACATATAAGAGATACCACTAAGGTAGGAGTTAAAGAACTCATAAAGCGATCAAGAACTCTTCCTTCGGTGCTAAATGTCAATTTTGATAAGACCGTAGAAATAGGAACCACTAATACGTCCCTAGCCATTTGTGAAAGGATGGGAAATCGAGGAGCATTGGGTTTCCACCACTCTAAAATCTTGAAATCAAGCACTATTATTTTCAGCACTTTCATGAAGATATTTGTTCAACTCCATTTTATTTACTCCACTTCCAATATCATACTTGTATTTTTCAAAACGCATCATTATCTCCATTTTTATTCTATTTTCTTCTTCATCAATCATTTCTTTATTTGCACAATCCACATCTATTCCCCAACTCCCACTAGTTTTGCCAATTTCATCTTAAGATGATGAACGACAATAGAAATCATTCATGGCATTTATAGATCCCTTCACAGTATTTGACATATTTTGACCCTCTAAATCACCATACAATTCCTTGATTGAAAATTCAATAAATAAAAGTTTATGCCTAGTATCAAGTATTGTCGCAATATAAATCAACTTGTTCATTTTCTTAATATCCCCTCAATACTTCTCAAACTTTTCCTTCATTTTATTAGCCAATGCAAAATCATCCAAATCCTCACTTTGTTGCCATTTTTTGAAAACATGTTCGAGCATATAAATCTCTTTAAAAAAAATATTTGAAGTCACATACAAGGAACCCGAAATGCGCAAAGTAAGGTTGTAAAAACTTTTCAACATGCCCACCATCTTCTTACAAGTCTTCCAATCATCCACATTAGGTGGCCCACACAACATTATCACCAAGATCTACATCAAATTCACTCCTATATAAAGGATCAATTTGTTCATATCTCTTAAAGCTCTCTCAAACTTTAGAGCCGACTCTAATATCAAATATGTTGAATTCTACCTAGTTGCGACATCTAGTTGTAACAAACTCTTAGAATCAATTTTTTCAAGTTCAATGCATTCCTTAAATCTTCTCAACCTAGCCGGAGATTGCCTCACAAACCCGATAGCCGATCGAATATGAACGATCGAAGGATTAAAATGTTTTAACCCATCAGCAATAACTAGATTCAAAGTACATGCCATACACCTCATATGAATGAATTCTCCATCTAAGATGCTATAACCCCAATTCTTAATCACATCTTTTAAGTGTCTAATTGCCACATCATTCGAACTTGCATTATCAACCGTAACACTAAAAACCTTGTCAATTCCCCAATCAATCAAGCACTTCTCAATGGCAATACCTAAATCTACTCCTTTATGACTATCAATCGGATAAAAATTCAAGATCTTTTTATGCAACTTCCAATCATTATCAATAAAATGAGCGAGTTAAACACATGTAATTGATTCTTTGAATAGATGTCCATGTGTCCGTAGTGAGGCTAATTCTTTGACTATTTTGTTTAAAAAATTACTTCAACTTTATTTTCTCATCTAAATAAAGTTGATAGCAATCTCTTGAAATCGTAAAATGAGATGGAAGTTTGAATCTAGGTTGCAATTAGATAAAAACTTTTTGAATCCCCTACCCTCTATATGCTTAAATGGAAGTTCATCTAGAATGATCATTTCAGCTAAATCTTTTCTACTAACAATTTGATCAAACTTCCATGTGCTAAGACTATTTTCTCCCACTTCAAGTCTTCTAAGGTCTAATTGAGTTTGTGTAGAGTCAATACAACTAAAAGAGTTTTTTTTACAAGTCAAAATATGAGATCTAAGTGAGGTTGTCCCATTTTTTGAAGGATTACAAGCAAATACCTTAGAACAATAGTTTCATTTAGCCTTCATGTCTTTATTGCCATCTTCAAACTTTATGAAATGGTCCCACACCATCGATCTTGGCTTCATTGATTTTCTCTTCTTTCCTTTGACATCTTCTTGAGTGTTAATTGAAGTTGGACCTATACCTACACTTGATTGTGTATTGGGATTGCTTGAACTCACATGTTCATAATTCATCTCTTCGGATTGAGATTGTGACATCTACATAAATAACAAAGGAACAAGAGTATTAAGCTTCACACTCCTAAATAATAAAAAAAACATAATAAATATACACAAGTTGCCAAGTTGGTAGCATAATATGGAATGAAAGTATGGAACCGCCTATCGTTGATAACCATAAAAAAGTATTCTAATCCTAAAATCAAATATAGGCGGATGCTACCGCCTCGCCTTAACAAAAGGTGTGTCCAACTCGTCCATATCGAAGAGTGAAGACGGTAGACACTTAGATAGTAGCAAAATTGGGTAGAATTCTATAAGATCCTCCCCTAAATCAGTAGCAAACAAAAAAGTAGTCTAGCCCTAAAATAAATAGCTTAATAGCTTTCATACACAAAACAAATGCTATTAAAATTGGACGGGTATATGAAAAAGTATGTTCATTTTTTTTTCGAATTCATTCGAGTAATTAAACTCTACTCATTTAATTATGTAGAAATTTTAAGCATTCATTTCATCTATCCAATTTTTGGTTATATGTATGTGATTAAAAGAGAGAAAATGAGAAGATAAATGAAGAAAGATTGCTTAATAACAATGGACGAGTTCTTTATGGATAAGAATTTAGCTTAGTTTTACTTGTGTGATGCCAAATTCTAAATGAAATGATGAATTACGAGGTTTTAATGATTCTTTCAAGACTAAATGGAGATTAACAACGGTTAAAGATTTTAACAACTATCAATTTTAGAATTAGTTATGCAAATCAAGAACCAAGAAGAATAGAAAATAAAAGTAATAAACAAAGAAATCAGCGAGTAAATTCAATATTGATCTAAAATAACAGAATAGCTCTTTTATAATGAATTACTCATTTTATATAGTGTTTGTTTCTAACTAACTTTCCCTCTCAATCTAACGACCATAACCAACTCTTGCCATGTTAGCTAACTAACTCAACTCCCTCCCTAACTGGCTACCATTCACATCCTCATGTGCTCTTTAGTTTTTCCTTTCAACCGATTCCATATTTCCATGCATCCATTTGCTGCCTTATTGATTGTTTCCAAGCTTCCCATTTCATGCTCTCTACATGGTAACCGAGACTAGCACCACTAGGGGAGGATCCATGTTAGCTAAAACAGATCGATCATGACACTATTATACTAATAAATTATACTAACAAACTCACTAACCAATCATGACACTATTTAATCACATGACCGATCATCACATGATCGATAAATTATATTAACAAACTCACTAACCAAATCTGCAGAGTTTAGGTTTTGCTTTGAAACTTGGAAGCTCAATAGTCAAATATCCATCACATGCCTCAAACATAGATTTTGAATTCAAAGAAGAGATAAAACTTTTAGTCCAAAAGCAAAAACAAAAATATTAGAGAAAATCTTTCTTCCTCCCTCTCTGTCTCTCTATATATATGCTATTGCAAGCAAACATAACTAGCCAAGTCCTCCTTTTCACTCCATAGAAGACATCTTATGAGCTAAGAAAGCAATGAAATCTAGTCTGTTTGAGATCGGTTCGCTATTATTTGCGCAATGTCTATACTAGTATCGCTTCTCTCAACTCGGGGCTAATCTAGCTCAAGCAAGGATGCTCGTCACCACCTTCTTTGGCTTTAACAAAATCACCAACCTCTCAAGTACTTGTAAATTCAATGTCACACAAAAAACATGCCAAACACAACACGAGATAGTAGCTCCTAGCCTTGAAAAATACCTCATAATGGTGCTAATCCCATCCGGAACAAGTAATCATTTGAAAGGAAAGAAAGGAAAACAATCAAGAAAAGAGAAAACAACATAAAGTGCAGAATGGGAAGCTTGATAACCATGTACATGTTAGCTAAAAAAATGCTAGAAACAAACAAAGAAGAGAAAAGAAAATATGAGTTAGACATGAACAAATCGTCACCCTTACCCTAGCTGAAACCAAAACACAGCTTGATAACCGGACTAACGCAAATAAAGTGCGGAATCACGGACTCCAGCAAACAAAAAGGAAAACAAATGCCAACGAGACACAATAAACATTTCAAGGCAAGGCTTCGGGCTTCCAACCAAGACAACACCACGAGTGTAGAACAAAGCATATCAATTATCAAAGCTCAATAAGGAATCTAAAAAACAACATAATCGATGCCCAATACATTGTTGTTATCACGTATCGATAAAAAAATTAAAATAAAAAAGACTAACCTTGAAAGACACGAAGCTTGACGAAGGAAGATTAGAAGAGGATTGGAGCCTAGAGCCCGAAGCTTGGAGGACTTGCTCGTCACCTGGAGTGGAGAGTGAAGAACGAGGAGAAGAAGAGTGAGGTTTTGAGAGTGCGAGATATGTGAAAGGTCGAGAGTCCGAGACTTGTGTTGAGAGTGTGAGAGGCGAGAACGAGAGAGCCGAGTTTGCTCGTTCGTCGGCGGGCTTCGCCGGAATGTTGGGCGGTGACGGTGGTCGCCGCATGACTTTGTCCGCCTCAAAAGAAAGGAAAGACGAAAGAGGCGGCTAAGGGTAAGGGAGTCAAGATGAGAATGAAAGGATTAAGATGAAGTCCGATGAGACGAAAGAGACAACGAAGCCACGTTTAGGGAGACAGGGACGGGGTGAGCCGGAGGCGGAGGGGAGTTACCGAGTATCCGAGTTAGGGACTTAGGGTTAGATGATTAGATATTTAGATCTTATTTAGTTATTCGGAATTAGAATTAGGAATAAAAAAAACAGCTTTTGAATCAAATCATTTCCTAAAAAAATCGAATCGAACCGAAATTATTTTGGTTTTTTTGGTTCCGTTATAAATTATACATTTTTTAATTTATACCCAAACCAAATCTCACAATTTGATTCGGTTTAATTCGATTTTTGATTAACCAAACCGTTTGATCACCCCTAATTATTAGGTAACCCTACCCGAAATAAGGTTTTATTGTTAGGTAACCCTAGTTGAAATAAAGTTCTATTGTTAGACAACCTTACTTGAAATGATGGTCTATTGTTAGGTGATCATACGTAAATACCGATCTATTATTAGGTGACCCTTCTTGAAATGATGGTTTATTATTAAGTGACTAAGCCTAAAATAATGATCTATTGTTAGGTAACCGAATCCGAAATGATAATCTATTGTAAGGCAACCAAGCTTAGATGATGGTCTATTATTAGGTGATTCTCGCCTAAAATAGTGACCTATTATTAGGCAACCGACCTTTATTGATGTTTTGGTGCTTCTAGGTAAATTACACCTATTAATAGTCCGTTTGTTCCGAGTGACCTTTCCCTACTAACGAGTATAGCTATTTTGGGTGACTCGCCCCTACCGATGGTCTATAACCGATTTGAAAGCCACTAAAAACTTCCTTACATAAGTGAAAAGCCATCAACAACTTCATTTCAAATGAATAAAAAGAAAGTAAATTGATTTGAAACCCACTCGGTGGCTTCATCCATATATGAGGGAAGCCATCAATAGTTTCTTTTTTAGATGAGCAAAAATTAAGTAAAATGACTTTGAAGCCATTAACACCTTCATCTCATAAGTGAAAAGTCATTGACGACTTCATTTTAAATGAACATAAAACAAGTAAATTAACTTGGAAACCACTAATAGCTTCATCCACATATGTGGGATGCCATTGACAACTTCATTTCAAGTAGACAAGAAACAAAAAAATTGATTTAGAATCGATAAGTAGATTCAACACATAAGTGAGAAGCCATTGTTGATTTCAAACAATGTAACAATGGATCATTTAAAAAAAGGTTTGGAAGCCACTAGTAGCTTCATCCATACAAGTGGGAAGCCACTTGCTAGCTTTGGACTATATAATGATAAATCATTTAAAAAATGTTTAGAAGCCATTAGTAGGTTCATCTATGTAAATGAGAAGCCATCACCAACTTCGAGACCATAGAATAACAAATCATTTAAAAAAGATTGAAAAGCCAATAACAACTTCATCCACACAAGTGAGAAGCAACTATCTCGCTTCCTTTCATTCCCGTATAAAATAGATAACATATCATTTAGTACAAACATAGACATCACCTTTAAATGAAAATATCAAGATTGACATTTGCCTTAGATCCATCGTTGAAATTAAAAATTCAAGCTCTTGCTTCTAGCTCCATCTACAGTATTGAATAATTTATCTTATTTTATCTCAACAATACTCGAGGTTTTTGACCCGTTCAAGTTTGATACACAATGCCGTATCCAATCACACTTAAAATTTCAACAATCATAACCAATATGTATTTTTAATTTATTTATTAAGACCTACCAATTATATCATTTTAAGATAAATATTTTTTGAAAGTTACCCAAGATGATGGTTGCAAAATGCTAAATTTGTCCGAGTACTATTCAAGGTCAATTCCGCTTTCTTCAACCCCGATTAAAACTAATTACTCAATTAACTAGGGAAGGAAAGTAGCTGCCTATTGAAGCACCGTAAAGGCTATTATGAAATTATCAAAATACCTTGGAAGGTGAAATAACCAAAATACATCCGGGGTAAAATTACCAAAGCACCTTTAGAGGCTAAAATTATTAAACTACCCTCGTTAACTATAGGAGTTATTGCCACCAGCCACGACCATCTTTTGACCACTTTCGAGCACATTTACGCTAGAGAAGGATCATCTAGAGCTCCTCTATCGACTCGTATAGGTAGTGTCGGCCACGGTGGCTAGTGTAGAGAGATTGATGATGGTTAGAACTTTTAGGTTTCTTCTCCGACAATTTTTCTAGTCATAATGAGGCAACGGAAGGATACCAATCAACTCAAAAGATTATGGGGTGTATTTCTATGGTGGTTAGGAGTTTTGATATAGTCGGGTTATGTCAAAAGGGCTCGATGGATGTTTGGCATTGCTTTGACATATTTTGGCAACATTGAGTTATGATTTTAAGGGAAACCACCTTTTAGGAGGGTAAAGAGTGTTTTTCTAATGGTAGAAGGTAGTGGTTTAGTCAAAATTGGGAGAATTAGTTGGGTCCTTAAATAGGGTCGGGTTATTGGCCTTCTCTCCATTCTAACCTCCTTCAACGTCTCTTTTTTCTTTAACTAGTTAGCATAGGTTGATCCGGGGTTAGGGTTAGGCTACCGATTGGTAATGGTGGCTAGAGGCAATATTTATTAAAGGGTGGCTACTTTGGATGAGAAACTTTGGTTGGTATACGAATCAACCCACGGTGTCGAGTGGATGGGTAAGGATGTGTTTAGTATATTTTTCTTAGTTTTTAAGGTCTTTCTTTCTTTGGGATCCATCTCCAGCTTAAATGGCTAAAGGGGTTGGCTATTTATAGGAAAAAATTAAGGGTTTGGGTAAAAATTAATTTTTATCCTTGGTTTCTCTTGATTTTTAATTTTAGTGTTGATTTGTTTGTTTTTTTTCCTCAATAGTACTATTCTCTTCTTTCAATTAAAATCTTAGGCCTTAATCCTTTTAATTGCACCCATAATTAGGGTTTTCTGAACCCTACACTTCTTTTTTTAATTGAACCCCTAAATCATTTTTTTTCAAATAATTATCTTTTTTTTCCTTTTTCTCTATTTTGTATTATTTTTTTTAACTCAAAAATTTAAAAATTAGATAAGGGTTTACAATTTGTTTTTCACAGGGGTTTATGAAGTGGGTTAATGAATGTGGTATGTTTAGGTTTGCTAGAGAAACAAAGAGGGGCATTATGTTTGTTTGGTTTTTCTTAAGAAAAAAAGAGGGGGCATATGTGTGGGTTTGATGGATCATGCTTGTTAGGGATTTGATTAAGTTGAATAAAATTTAACTAGGTTGTATATCTACTATGAGGTCAACAAAAAAGAAATTGTTTTGAATTATTAGTTAAAAGCATTCCATTTAACAATTAACATTGAACCTACTAGTTGGCTATTCATGAAACACTTGTGTTAATATAAAATAATATTATGAACAATAAAATTCCTTCCAAACAAGAGAATAAAAATCATATGAAAAAAATTATATATTGATGGCCATTAGTATTTTCAAATATACAGATCATGCATAATATGCAAAGCTACACTCATGGTTAATAGCTATATCTATAGCTATATATATATAAAAGCTCATTAGTCTAATTGCTAATACAAAACTCAAAATAAGAAGTTGTAATCAAAAGTTTACCTACACGCAACACATTTTTTTTTTTTGTATATTCATTGTCTAGCATATAACTATACTAAAAAAAAAAAAAGAAAAAAGAAAAAGAGCTTGTTAGCCTAATTGCTAATACAAAACTAAAATTAAGAAGTTGTAATCAAAATTTTACCTACACATAACACAATTTTTTGTATATTCATTGTCTAACATTAGAAATTTGTGTCCCACTATCGACCAATCTAGATTTCTTCTTCTATCTTGTGCTATTTCCAATACATGTTGAACCCTTTTAACTCTGCTATCTATCATCGTTACTATCCTTCATTTGTTTAGCTTTTGACTATTTCTTCCTTCTCTTGGTTGAACTCGTATCTTCTAAGTGTTAGGGTGTTATGACTGTATAATTTCCAACTAGAGTCCCAATTATTGCCTTAAATAAAAGTTCCTAGCTTCTAGTACTAGCCTATAACATGATAGTCAATTTCAACAACTACAACCATAACAATAACCACAATCACAAATTTTTGTCAAAAAATTCATCTATACATCTAAATATTGAAACCGAATTTACATTGATTGCTATATTAGCATTATGTGGCACATTATTTGCACTTGTTTGCATACCATAGACTTCACTTGCACATTACTAACTACCATTGTCATCTCTAACTCGACTATAACCAACAACAATAGCATCACCTTTAGCTTCAGCAATGGGTTCAATATTTGTAGTGTTTGAGTAATTCCTAGGTCTTTCATTATTCCTAATAGCTCCGAAGTTTGTTTCTTTTTTTTTTTTTAATTCTTGTACTATACATGACATAAAATAGTTATAAAAAACAAAAACTTATAAATGGAAAAAAATTACAAAGCTCAAGAAGAATGGCGACTTATAAATTGTTCTCTTGCTCTAGTAGTAAAGTCATAATTCTATTTATTTAGGCATGACATTTTATTGTGGCCTTATTGATAGCAGGTCGAGCATCTCATCCTCATACCATTCGTTGACATTTTGGTACTTAGCCCTTTTATTTCTTTAAATATGCTCTTCCTAAGTCTCCTTGACATTTTCTTGAATAAAAGTGGTTGTATTAGTTTCTTTAGGGTCTTAATCCAGAATTGCTCTCCATTTAGTTGCTTTGTTATAAACTAGAATGCTTTTAAGTATTTCACTTTGGTTAGCCAATTGTATACTTATGCTTTTGGTTCATTCTCTCATTTGTCAATGATTGCACACATGGTATGGCAACATGGAATTTTTAAAAGTTGCCAAGCTCTATATGAACATGTCTTACTAGGAAGCTTAACCATATACTCTTCAATTGTTCCATATTTCCTAATTTCAT